CGCCCGGTCTCCATTAGGCCTTTACCTCAAGAGCGCTGGGTGCAAGCAATGCACCCACCCGTGTAGTGGAAACCAACCCACTGGTACTCCTGGGTTCAGTGCCTGGTGGAAGCCACCTCGCTTTACTGGGTGCAAAGCGATTTCAGAGGGAGAAAAAAAATGACTTCATTAGCGAAGGGCAAAGAATCGCTGATCCCCCCCCCCCATAAAAAGAAACAAAAGGTTACTACCATCAGCCTCTCTTCGGTTTCGCTGGCGAGCCGCCCGTCCCCACCCCCCACATGCACACAACCAGGTGCAGGGTCCCACAGAAGGCAGAGAGCCACTGACTACAGAGTCAAATTTCACATTGTTTTATTAGAACAAAAACCATTGGCTCTATCTTGACAGACGTTTGCCCCGCCCCTTTCCTGCTCTTCTCAGATGCTCCATTTCCAGTTCAATTATTTGGGCAATTTACAAAAATAATGATCACAAGACCTAAAAGTTAGACACGGAGCCTGGAGTCCCACTTAACTCCCCAGACCGCCCACAGAGAAGCCACTGGAGCCCAGTGGCTGTAGCACATGGCAGGAAATACAGTTAGTGAGGGCACTAATGGAGACCGCTGCTTACGCCCCAGAGACACTGCAGCGATTCAAGTAGCAACCGGCTGCTTTCCAGGGCATGGAACCTTTGTCACTCAGGTGGAAATTCTGTGCAGCAGAACCCCAGGGGAAAGCTACGGACGCCTCCAATTAATAGCAGTCACTTAAAGGCCGTTTCTAAGTCCACTCATTTGGCAGCAAAGAACTAATAATTGGGGCAAAGCCTCACCTAAACTGGCTGTCAGCACCAGCGAGCAGCTGGGCCCGGGATGCCACCAGTCCTCCAAATCCACTCCCCCCAATCTAACTGCTTTTAACTGGGCTCCACCTCTCCCTGCAAAATGACCAGTTGGGGTGGGGGCGGGGGGAATGTAACCGTCACCAGTTTTGGCTCCACTAGGAAGTAACAGAGGGTGGCCAGTGGGGGGAGCCGCATGGAACACACGGTTTCACGCAGTTACGTGGCGCGCTCTATTTATTGGTGTCAGCGGAAAACAAGAAAGGCTAGAAAGGGATGAACGGACGGAGAGCACGGTAGGAAGCACAGCACTTCTAGGAACCGCGGGCTCCATCTCTGCCATAGCAGGCCAAGCGGTGAACTACCCAGCTGTGCCCCAGCCCTTCCCTCTCTCAGCCTATGGAAGAAAAATGTGATGAGGAAAAACTAGAGTGGGAAGAGACTAGTGTGCTGGTGCTGCCCGAATACATCCACAGCTTGTAGGGACTGAGCAGTCCCCGTGCGGAAAGAGGGGCAGTAAGAACGATGGGCCGTGTTTGTTTCTAGGGATGCCAAAGGAAGTGGGCTCCGTTGACAAGGGAAAAGGCGGATCCCCCCCCATGCTGCCAGGGCTGTAACACCTGAAAGGCACGCAGTGGCTGTTCACATTGTTAAAGGGTCAAAGGTTAAGACAACGGTGCTGAGGCAGAGTGGGATCCAGACTAGGGATGTGAAGGAGTCGTTGACTAGTTGATTAACCGATAAGCCTGGACTTATTGGTTAATCTAGTCGACCACTCACACCCCCCCTTGCTGCATTAAAAGACAGCTCTCCTCAGCACCGGCTCCGTGGCGCTGTCTGCCGCTCCCCGCACGGCTGCCACTACTGTGGGGGAGGGGGAAAGGGGAGGCTGACGGGAAGCAGCCTCAGCCTGTGCTGAACCCTGGGTCACCACGGGCAAAGGCTGCTTTGCAGGCGCGGCCGCGTCTGTGGTGGGTCCCACCTCACTGTGGTCAGGGGCTACTGCCACCCTGCGCTGCTGCCTCTGTATCCGCGAGAGGAGCTTCCCTCACGTACCAGCTCGGGGAGAGAGGCAGCAGCAGCGCAGGGTGGCAGGGGGCTCCCCAGAGTGGGGCCGGAGCGAGCTGGCTGCCAGCCCTGCCCCAAGGACGATCGACTAATGGCTAAGAATTCAGGCGGTTAGCCGACTATTCAGTTAACCGACAGCTAATAACACCCCTAGTCCAGGCCGTAGCAGTGTGGCCAGGCGGAAAGGCCCCAAGGGAGGCAGGTCACAGCTGGTGCATTCCCCATCAGTAGATCTCAAAGCACTCTCCAAAGCAGGGTGAGGACCATTCCCTGCACCACTCCCATTGCACAGGCGGGGAGGCCAGAGACAGGAAGTCTGATTTTCGGAGAAGCCGAGCATGCCCAGTGAGAGCTGCACGACTTCCGACCGCCGGGACCCCCGGGCATGTGGAACTTGCCTGTGATCTCAGCAGGGCAGGTGGAGAGCCTGGACTAGCACCTACATCACCCCACACCCAGCCTCACCTGCAGCCCAGCAGCCCTGACTCAGACACACTGTGGGGGGGGGGGGGGGGGGGGGGAGATAACAAGATGCCACAGTCAGTATTCCCCGTCTGACCTCTGGTATCAGCTCTACCCCTTGGGCAGCTCAGTCTCTACTCTGCCCTCCCTACACCCTGAGCTTGGCCCTGCAGGGCACCTTGGGACCACCCCTGCCAACCTCAACCGCAGGGCATGTAATAAAACCGGCCCCTTGCCAAGGCAAAAGGAGCTGCCCCCTTCTTGGGTAATTACACCGGTCGCAGGGCTAGCGCTGCACGAGGGAGAGGCCTTCAGCTTCCCTGGCGCCCAAAACTGACAAAGCCACGTCCCCACCGGTGTTTGGCCCCATGATCAAAGCGCCAGGACCCTGCCGGAGATGCAGGAGAGGACACTTTGTAAGCACACACAGCACAACACAGTCCGGCACCTACTCCTCCCTCCCCCCTGCCCCAGCCGCCATCACCTCCCTTCCCAAGGCAGCAATGAGACCGGACGGACGGCGCTTGCCCACTTCATTCTCAGCCTGAAATGTGTCAGCTGTTCCAGCAGGGGCACCCCTTTAAGGGGGACAAAGCCCATTGGCCAGAGGAGCATGGGGCGCGCAGGCCCTATGCTCCCCTGGCCAGAGCTGTGTGAACTCCCTCACTCCTCAGCACAAAGCAGCACCTGCCCGCTAGCCCACAGCACCGGCAGCCTTGCAACAGGCAACTTGTGTCCCAGAGGACTTGCTGGGCAGCTGCTGGGGGAGCAGCGGGGAAGCTGCCTGCAGAAGCACTGACAGGCACCTCCCGGGAGAGACGCTGCCAGGCCAGCTGGCTCTCTGCCCGGACCTTAGCAAGAGGAGCCACGTACTGCTGCACGGGACCCTGCAGCTGCACCGGCCTCCCACAAACAGCCGTGCCTGAAGCTGGGCTTTTCCCAGGCAGACAGTCTCTCATGCCAGACCTGGGATCTAGGGTCTCGGGGCAGCTGTCGCGAGTGCGAGGATGGCTCAAGCCGAGAGGATCTGCAGCCACGAAGGCTGGTGCCTTCATGTTGCCATGAGCTGCCTGTTTCAAGTCCCCACGAGGCCAGTCTCGGCGGCGTCAGCCCAGTCGCCTCATCCCTGCCACTCACACGTATTTCTCATGCCCGCAGCGAGAGGGACCGGCGGAGCGCTGTCTGGTCCTCAGCAAGGCGCTCCAGGGCACAGGAGGCGTCAGGCCAACACTGCCGTGCGATGCCAGCATGGAGGGGAACCTGGAGTTCAAACCCAGGTCAGCTCCAAACCAGAGGCTGTGTCTGGCCAGCCTGCCCTCTCACTCCCAATCAGGGAGCTTGGCTCCCTGGCCCCGTCACAGGCATGCTTGTCAAATGGCAGCCTGGCAACTCCCATTGCTGCCCACGCCATGAAAAGGCACGAGAGCTGCCATGGCATACGTGTACCTAGTGAACAGCACTGGGACGGGGCCAGAGGGCAGACATCCCCAGAGCACGGAGAGCAACCAGGCCAGCTAACCCCCATGCCTGGAGAGCAAGCCAGGCCTGGAAGGTGGGCTGCTGTAGGGTACAAGTTCTGTCTAATCCTTTGCCAGTGGAGCTGGTGCTTTTTATGCCCCGGCCACCTGTCTGCTAGGATCCACTGACTCCGAGAGTCCTCTGTGGACAGAATCATGTGGAAGCAAAATCCATATATAAGCCTTTACTGCTCCCTGACCGGCCAGGGTAGCAAGAGGCTGGATGGGCACCGCAAACCTGGCATCTCCTGGGACACGTCCTGTGCAACACGAACGTAGCCCCGGTCGCGGGGAAACAGTCAACCCTATAGCATGAGGATTCTGGCCGAGGCAGAAGGCTGGGGCTGCTCCACTCGCTGGAAACCACAAGCCAGCAATGCTCTGGGACAGGCAGCAGCCCCGCAGCTGTGTCCAGCCACCAGCGGCGAGACACCTGGCCTGGAGCCCAGGCAGAACGGGAGGGAAGCCACCAGCATCAGTGACTTCTCCCTTCCCTGGTGGAGAGCCGGGGCTTCCCTCACACTGAGCACAAGTAACGGGGGAAGCCCCCAAGGAGGGATTCATTTTCCCTGCAAACATCACAGCCCCTGCGGAGGCCTGTCTGTTACCCCACCCAGCCCAGCAGGGCAGGCAGCAAAACCCGTTTCTCCCAGAGACAGGGCCCAAGCACCAGCAGGAGCCTGCTTGGACCTGTCCCAGCCTCACCCCACGCAGCCAGGGGGCCAGGAGAGGATGGGGAGTCTGGGGGCATTCGCAGCAGAGGATGCTGGGGCAAGACCTGGAGGTGGCAGGGATGTCAAATCCTGTTTAATCAGGGAACAGGTTAAATGTAACTGATTAAGCAGGACTCCATGGGGAGGGGGCCACTCAGTAGCCTCTCACCCTCCTGCCAGGGTGATGCTTCCTGTGTAACCAGTAACCCATTCACATCCCTAGAAGGTGGTGAGTGAATGAAACACCCCCCCGCCCTCAGCAGGCATGGCTAGTGCCAGGCATCCTCATAGCCTGGCTGCTGGCTGGCACAAGGGGTCTAGTGGCACCCAGAGGGGGCTGACTTGGATGCTCTCTGGGGACAAGCCAGAGGCTAGCTGCGAGGTAGGAGGCTCCTTCAGTGGGGCAGCTTCACTCTGCTTTAAAAGACATTTATTTCCGGTGCTCCCTAAAAGTATAAAATTGAGAGGGCAGGGCAGGGCCGGGGCAGCTCCTGCCTCTGCTCGGCTGGCACCGCTGGGCACCCATCTCCATCACATGATTCCACCAACCCGGCCGGCCAACACGTGCGCCCGGCTGAGCCCAGGGGCAGCATCTCAGACGGCTGGCCCCACGGGGAGAGGCATCCGGCGGCTCTTGCCCGCCTCCTGGCTCGCTTCCTTGCCCTCGGTCTTCAGCCACTCCATCTTCTGCTGGTGCTGCTGCACGGCATCCGTCACACGGGCGTCGATCATGGCCTCGGTGAGGATGCCGTCCGAGGACGCATAGGCGGCAGCCTATCGGGGGAAGAGAAGGCCAATGGGTTAGGAATGGAAGGCCCTTGGCGGCACTGGGGTGACCTCCTCCTGCCCCCCGGAGCCACGCAAGAGCTGCCAGAGCGTCTGTTCCCTGGGTTCCTGAGCCCCCTGGCACAGGGCCTTGTCTATCTTGCTAGCCAGTAGGGCAAACCAGCTGAGCTGCTCTCAGCGTGAGTACCTGGAAGCACAGTAAGATTCCCAAGGGCTAAAAGCATGTTTATCTGCCTGCACCCGGGGGCAGAAATCAAAGAAAATCCACCCCAGGGACTAGGCTGGGCTGATTTCAATTTTTTTCCACCTTAGACAGATCAGAGGCAGCCTCCCTGGTCTCAGCCCTCACCCAAAGGGCTGGCATCTCTTGCACAGAGATCTTCCTGCCTGTCTGGCAGGGGTTTGAGTGAAATCACGGTTAACATACATCCCAGCCCCCTCTCTGCCTCCAGCATTGGAGCAGCCGACTTCAAAAAAAATCGCTTTATAATGGCTCAGGTTTCACTTGCTTCACACTGGTGATGCTGTAACCCCAATGGCTCTCCAGTTACGCACAGAATCTCCCTGAAAAACGGAGTCTAGACCAAAGCCCCGATCTTCTAGAGAAGCAATCACGAAGCGCAACCTGACCTGAGCTTTGTGGTGGTAAAAGGAAAAACTCTTCCAGGGCTTCTCTCCGCATCCCAGAGCGGCAGGGAACGAGACAGACACTATTTCACTCGCAGATGCCTCCCTTCGCTTTTAAAAAAGGTGCTTCCACCTGGGAATCACTGCCATGGACAAACAATCTAAAAGCGCTGGGCCGCGGAGAGGGGAAGCCCGCTGAACGCGCACACCCCTTTGATTTAGATATTGGCATAGAAAGTACGCTTAAGTTTGCAGATGATACGAAGCTGGGAGGGGTTGCGACTGCTCTGGAGAATAGGGTCATAATTCAAAATGATCGGGACAAATTGGAGAAATGGTCTGAGGTAAACAGGATTAAGTCTATTAAAGTGCTCCACTTAGGAAGGAACAATCAGTTTCACACATACAGAATGGGAAGCGACCGTCTAGGAAGGAGTACTGCAGAAAGGAATCTAGGGGTTATAGTGGACCACAAGCTGAATATGAGTCAAGAGTGTGATGCTGTAGCAAAAAAAGCAAACATGACTCTGGGACGCATTAACAGGAGTGTTGAGAGCAAGACACGAGAAGTCATTCTTCCGCTCTACTCTGCGCTGGTTAAGCCTCAGTTGGAGTATTGTGTCCAGTTCTGGGCACTGCATTTCAAGAAAGATGTGGAGAAATTGGAGAAGGTCCAGAGAAGAGCAACAAGAATGATGAAAGGTCTAGAGAACATGACCTATGAAGGAAGGCTGAAAGAAGTGGGCATGTTTAGTTTGGAAAAGAAGATTGAGGGGGGACATGATAGCAGTTTTCAGGTATCTAAAAGGGTGTCATAAGGAGGAGGGAGAAAACTTGTTTATCTTGGCCTCTGAGGATAGAACAAGCAGCAACGGGCTTAAACTACAGCAAGGGAGGTTTAGGTTGGACATTAGGAAAAAGTTCCTACCTATCAGGGTGGTTAAACACTGGAATAAATTGCCCAGGGAGGTTGTGGAATCCCCATCTCTGGAGATATTGAAGAGCAGGTTAGATAAATGTCTGTCAGGGATGGTCTAGACAGTATTTGGTCCTGCCATGGGGGCAGGGGACTGGACTCGATGACCTCTCAAGGTCCCTTCCAGTCCTAGTATTCTATGATTCTACGATTCTAAAATGCTACAGCTGCAAAAACCTAAGACCCATAAAAGAATTTAAGCCTGATTATAAACCCACATTCCCTGAGACCCATAAAAGACGGGCACAAAATTTAAGCCTGATTATAAACCCACATTGCTCTCCCCACCCAGGGTGGGACAGAGGGCTCCAGATGGCTTGTGCCTCCGAACTGAGAGGCTTAAGGCATCCCAAGGCAATGGCCACCCCTCGTCTCCTGCTAATGAAAGGTGCTAGACCAGGGAGGGCAACAAAAATGAAGGCAGTTTGCCAGGGTTAGCTCCTGGCAGGTCACTGGTGCAGGACACCACTTTCTGCAGCTCTCATTGGCCGGGAACAGCAAGCTGTGGACAATGGGAGCTGCGAGCAGGTAAATACACCAGTGGTGGCCCAGCAGGGGTGCACCCTGGCAAACAGCATCCAGCCTGCCGGCGGGTATTTCCCAATACTGAGCTAGACAGACCGCCCTAGAGACTGCCAACTTGTGTGCCCACAGATCAGGTGCAGCGTGGTAAGGCAAGCCCCCCGCCTGGCTATTGTGCTCTCAGTGCCGAGCAGAGAATCTCAGGTGGGAGCTGCCTGATGGGACGGCAGGGGGAGATGCTCCCCTTGAGTGGGCAAGTTCCAGGCAAATTGTTTTTTGAGTGTGAAGAGAGCACTGCCAGAGCCATCAGCAGCTACACAAGGGTTGCAGGCTGCTGGTGGCAGGCGCTGGAGCAGCTGCTGGTGTATTCAAGATGGGATCACCTCCTAGTGCTTTTAAAACCCTTCCTCCTTGAAAAGAAAGGAGTGAAAGAAACAGGAGTGGAAGTCACGGGGCGGAAGAAAGAGCTGAAGGAGCAAATGGAGTTCAAGAGGAGAGGAGAGATTCTAGCCCCTCATCCAGACAAAGGACTGACTAAAGGTTAGTGCAGTGAACTGGAAGCTCAGGTCCCCCGGGTGCCCTTAGTAGCTCTATCACCGACTCACTATGCGGACTAGGCAAATTGCCGCCTCTTTGTACCTCAGTGTTCCCATCTGTAAAATGGGGTAAGTCCATGTGCCTGATGCGGCCTTCTGGAGATCAATGCTTCTGTGGCACTGATGGCATTCCACTAGCGCTAAGCCTTACTGCAGCCTTTCAGAAGAGCCAACAGAGGGGTCAGCCAATGTTCACGCCAATCTTTTCCATCCCTGTGCGGAATACATTTTATGCGCACTGAGGTATGTGTGACTGTGCACCCTCGGAACAAACACAAACCTAGCGGTGAGCTCTTTACTAATCAGCTGGTGCCCATTCGACTTTCTCCTGCACAGCCACACAAGCACTCAGATTACAGGGAACTAAGTGTCCGCCTGTCCTGGCCTCCTTTCAATGAACAACTGACCTCAAGTGAAAGATCCCCCTTTCCCTGCATCCCCACCGGAGTGAGCTCCTATGCTGAGCAGTCACCCATGAGCCTGCTTCCTCTGTGGCCTCAAGCCACGCACATACTAATTCTTGCCCAGCTCATAAAAGTGCGGCGGGTCACAAAGCCGTACGCCCCCGCTGCGGGTTTTATCCGATTTGAATACAAATCTGATAAAACTGTTCTGTGCTGGAAGGAGCGTAATGCACTTCCTAGTCATTAGTGACTTCAAAAGCAACCAGCAGCAGACTGGGACGGGGCGCACAGATCAACCGTTTGGGGGGATGCAGGACCCAAGAGGAATGGTCCCACCAGAAGTGCTGCCCAGCTGTCCTTTGTGGTAAGGGCGGTCATACTGGTTTCTCACACCAGACTCTAGTTCCTCGCCTTCCACGCTAACTGCAAACGTGTCTCGACCTCCACCGCTGCGCTTCTTTGCTCCCCTCTCCCATCTGCAAAACCCGGACAGCACTTTCTGCTCTGAGCGTGGCACTGGGAGTGAGCATCATGCTCAGCACCATGCAGGATGGGCCCCCTATTGGCACCCCAGTACTCCCCCCATGCCGAGAAGAGTCCTTGACTCCTTGGCCAGCACATGCCAACGCCATCTCCCCAGCAGCCTGGCGGCACGGCTTCCCCATGAAGCCGACGCGTCTGGCTGAATTACAGGAGAAGCTTTTCAAGGCGGAGCCCACATCTTGCATCCATAAAGCACTGGGCACAAGCACCTGGCTCCATAAATCATTAATGAGAGTCCACTGCTGAGGCTGCCAGGCGGGTTCGCAGCTGTGAAATGTAACGTAATGGCTTCTTGCTCCCCCAGGTCCTTATGCAGACAGACAGCAAACCAGACCGAGAGGGGGAGGCCACATGGCGCCATAGCAGCAGAGTAAGGGGACGGCCGACAGAGGGAGGCTTCACATGTTCATCTGATCTATGCTTCCTCATAGCAGGACCAGAAAGCCCGTCTCTCCTAGTTGTGAGGTGCAAGGTTCCCAACTGGGTCCTGGCCCCCCTCCCGCCCATGCTTGGACCCCCCTTCTTCCTCAGACAGCTGGCCAGCTAGCAAGGGGAGGAAGGGCTCTCTGGCCACAGCCTGGGCCTCCCCTGGACATGCAGACAGTAGTGTCTGAATCCAAAGGGGCGGCGTGCTCAGGCCACCACAAGGGGAGTCACTGAGGCACAACCTTGCAAATTTCTGCACTTGCCCCCAGGCAAAGATTGTGTGGCAAAAGAGGGCAGTCAGAGTGGAGGTGTATTGCCTTTTGGCTGCAATGGGCATCTGAATACAGCTTCTCCTCTCAAAGCCACGGGGACATCTGGGCTCGGGCCTCCCTCCTCAAAGGCACAGACCCGGGAAGGGAAACTGATGTCAGCGAGGTCAGGACACCTGCTCCCCCAGCCTATCTTCCTCCATCAGAGGAGCTGCTTGATTCCTTTGCAGCCCAGCTCTCAAGCCCAAGCTGTAACTGCTTTAAAGCCTCCTAGAGAGAGATCAGCCACAGCAGGCAAGAGGGCTCACTGCTTGCAGTGCGTGTAAGAGCCCCAGCGGGCCCTGGCAGAGCAGTTCTGCTCCATCCCTGGTCACCTCTTTGGACTTTAGGAAGCCTGGAAGGAAGATTCCTGCCTCCAGAAGGCGCTGGTGGCGGTTGCCTAGGTGATGAGGCCTGCTCCATTCTATTACCACCGTGGTCACTGATGCGCCTGGGCTAACCCTGTCCAGCCTCCCTGCCTCACTTGCCCACCTTGGAACGGGGTAAATTCCCCTCTCACAGGGGCGCTTGTGCACCTTCACATTAGCAAACAGCCTCACGGCGCTTGGCTGAGAAGTGCCCAAGG